ACAGAAAATTCACGATTCGCTTCGGTACGATACTTTAGTCTCACGGTTTGATTTTTTTCGATACAAAAAAGAAAAATGTCCATGTCCCTTTTAACTTGTAATTTATTTAAATTAATTATGAACATTTGTTTAACCACAAAAGTACAGTTTTTAAATTAAATGTTGCTGAAACAGCAAGTTTCTCGGCGGGTTTGCGCTCGACAATGCAGCCTAGGTGCAGTAGTCGAACACAGATTCACTGATCCTTCAACACAGAGCATCTTCAGAAGACAAGTTGATAAAAAAATTAAAAAATRTGTATTGTTCCATACAAGTGTGTATTGAACCTAAATCACTGTATTGAACAGTCTGATACGGGTACATGTATTGTTGCACCCCTAATATATATATAAACTCATAATATGCTAAATTTTCTACAAAAAAGGTTATTTTAGGAGCGCAGAGATTACTTAGCGGCTGTTCACTACTGAGCAGAAGGTTAACAGCAAAAGACATCAGATCAGCTTTTATATTCAATTTTCATCAAAAATGAGAAAGCTAGCAAAAATTTCAGCAGCTGTTCTACACATATACTAGTGGAGACCATTAGATGATGCTGCAGAAGTGCACAGCAGGACCCAAAATGATAAACCAGTGCTGCTTGTTAAGCCTTTTAATTTTTTTGGTTTTACACATTTAAATAATTCAAATTCAACGACTTAGTCTGAATTCCTCCTCATTTCAACTCCACAAGCCCCGCCCCTTTTATGGGGCGTGTCCCAGATCAACTAATTTTGAGGCTGTCTCTAAAAAGAGGCGCCTCACAATCCCCCCCCCATCAGCTTCTCCGACCGTGTCATTCTAGTTTGATGGARGAGTTTACGACTTTATTGCGGCACAGAAACTTTTTATTTATAAATGAATTAAAAGATGTCAACAACAGAAGTCTTGTCCATTCAGACTTACATGCTGATGTAAAAGATTTGCCATAATAGTTTAGAATGAGTTGAAAAATAAGAGTCAAACAGAATAAAAATATGTCTACACAGCACCGAGAGACTCCAAGTACACAACAAAATGCATTTAACAGCTAAAAATTTGGATTTAGTCTGATAAGTCCGCTTTAAGACGGAAATAAAATACAAAATAAACAAGATCCATTTTCACAGAATCAAGAAATAAAGAGAGACTCAAAAGTTGATGGAACTTCCAAACTATATCAGATTAATGTACATTTCTTGTCCTTTATTAACCATCATTTCATTCAAACCTAAAAAATAAACTAGTGGAAACAGAGAAACGATGGAGTTTGTATTCTTAAAATCTGCCTCTAATGTCTAAATGAGAAGCAGCCTCCTTCTTTTTAATCTTGAGGGTTTCTTTTTCCTGAATGCGTGTGATAATTGTGCTGTGTTAACAAAACGCTGCTCTTATGTCAGTGAGAGTGAACGATGAGCGTCATCGAGATGGTCCCCGCAGATAAACCGCTTCCTCCGGCAGCGCGGGGTGGTGGCCCGGTGTGTTGGTGATCTTGGCAGTCGCATGCTACGGAAGAAGATAACACAGACAGATGAAAGCCTGCCTGCATGACTGGAAGAGAAGACGATGAATGAGATGAGTGGGGGGTGGGGGGTGTCTCCAAAACATTTCCATTATTGACACTCTAAGTGCAGGCAATAAGGGTCTCCTCTTCTGGAGACTCATCAAAGATCTTTAGAGGAGGCCAAGAGGGAAATAATGCACCAGAAAGCTTGAACAAAATCACTCTTGGGAATCAAAGGGTGGCCATTATCTTGCATAAAAACACATGCATGCACACACAGACGCATTTTGATGTGTATCTGAATGTTGCAATGGATGTGCTCAAAGAAACCTTAAAAGAGAGGCAGAAGARTCATTAACCACCTCAGCTGACTTCCTTTCAACGCAGAGGAGCAGCGACTCGTTTTATATTCTTCGGATTTATTTTGCCATGCAGCTTATTTTATTCTGTTTAATCTATACAATTTTTAACAGTAGTTTCAGATTTTAGTAAAAGCACATCTAATAATGTTTGTTTCTTTAATGTTTTTACTGTTTTACACCTCAGAATATAAAAAGCCTCAAAAGATTTTTTAGGTAAAGCAACTTTTTCTTTATTTAAAAAAAATCAAATGCACTGTAAAACTATCCACAGGTTTCTGTAGACTGCCATGACAGACCGCTACTTCTGGCCCCCGGTTTAATATTTCCGGTGTGCAAATTGAGTCAATCACGAGTTCAGGTTCAACTTGTGCTAAAGTCAGCTGCCGCAACAATTCAAGGAAACAGAGAAACTCTTCAGAAACATTTTGTCTGGAACAACAAGAAGTAGTAAAGCTCAGCGCCCTACGCACTGCACTTTATGCCAATGAACGAGGATCGTAAAGTAACGTGGCTGGCAGCTTTAAAACTCAAAACACACCAAAGAGTGTTTTTTTTTATCTTTTCATTTCATTGACAAAAAGCCTATGAAGCTGCACCCCGATCCAAACCTCTATCTGGGTTAAGGTGGGCCACTAAAGGTGACTCRTCTGGACCACTGTGAGTCAGACAGCTTCCAGCATTTTCAACAAAAACCCTGAACCTGTGCATGGTCATTGGAACTGTAAATGTGGTTTGTCTCCRTTCCTCTATTTAATCACGCAGTTCTTTGCTTTTACTAACTGGGGACATTTATATCATCATGCATATCATGTATACAAATGATATTATCCGCTGCACTCGCAAGTGATCGGACAGTCGGAGTGGATTCCATGGAGATTCAGTGTTTATACCGTAACAGATAAAGATGGTTCTAGAGCAAATTTCGACACATCCGACTTCAGGAATCACAGGAAATTTCATTTGAAATGTTTTGTGGTCCTCCCGGTGAAATTTGATGCAATTTTCCTGAATTTATTTAAGTTTAAACACAGCTAAACCAGCATAGCTCCGTTGAAATTAATGGAGCGGCAGAAGCTGCTTTTCCATTGTAAATGTGAGGAAATCTTTGTCGATATTCTGTTAATGTTGGAAAAACACAGTTTCGCAATTGCTGTGTTTCCATTAAGTAAGAAATGCTATTAAAGTCACGCGTGAAAACGTTTGTTCTCGGAATGTCATTGCAAACATGGCAGCAATGGATGTAACACATGCAAATTGCTACCATGGCATTAGCGCTCATCATCAGAGGAGACATCGGCATTTTATTGAGGCTTTCGAGAGACAAGCCCCTTATACTCGGGAGCGGCTATGTATGCTGCGTTTTTAGGACATTGTAGTCTGTAAGTTTACTACTTTCTTTTACTACTTCGTTGATTTTACTACTACTTCTACTTCCTGTTGTCTTCTTCGTCGTCGTCTTTTTCACCAGTAGAAACATCCGATTGTTGATCACGTGACTTCCGTGATGCGAAAAAAGTGTTTCCATTGAAGTTTTGCGAAATACACCAATTTCTATACGGCCGGAAAACCACCTCATCCTAGCGCAAAAACATGTTGTTGAAAAAATGAAGTTTTTTCAAAATTGACATGTTTCCATTGAGCAAATAAATTTTCGCAATTTTTATTAGCGCATTTTTGGAAACGCAGTTTATGAGAGTTTGTACGAGCATCAGTGCCAAGCGGACATAGTCACGTGACTAATGTTCTAAAAATAGCCTGAGTGAAGGTCCCCATTAAAGCCTACGATGAATCATGTTAGCATTAGCGCTAGCTGTAGTGTTGGCCTGATTGTTAGCATGTTATTAGCAGCTACGTCTCAGTTTTAAAGAAATATGAAGCCCATGGTTAGTAGGCGCAGGCTGGTAAAACTATATAAATGGCTTAATTGAACTGTCTCAAATTCTGAATAAGTAAAAAAAAAATTTCAGTGAAAAATACTTTGATAATCAGCCATGGTGCATCCCCRTAATTGTAAACAACAGCTAAAGTGGAAGTATAAAACTGACTACTGCTATGAATTATGGGTAGTGATGCAAATTCAGGAACACTGTGGGTATAAATACTGTATATAGTAAAAATGTCAAATGTCCTCCAAATCCGAGGTCATGGTCTTGAGCCGGAAAAGGGTAGAGTGCCTTCTCCGGGTCAKGGGGGTCGTCCTGCCTCAAGTGGAGGAGTTTAAGTATCTGGGGATCTTGTTCACGAATGGGGGAAGAACGGAGCGGGAGATCGACAGGCGGATTGGCACAGCGTCTGCTGTAAAGCGGGCGCTGTACCGGTCCATCGTGGTGAAAAGAGAGCTGAGTCAGAAAGTGAAGCTCTTGATTTACTGGTCGATCTACGTCCCTACCCTCATCTATGGTCATGAGCTTTGGGTCATGACCGAAAGAACGAGGTCCCGGATACAAGCGGCCGAAATGGGTTTCCTCCGCAGGGTGGCTGGGCTCTCCCTTAGAGATAGGGTGAGAAGCTCGGTTATCCGGGAGGGACTCGGAGTAGAGCCGCTGCTCCTCCACGTCGAGAGGAGCCAGTTGAGGTGGCTCGGGCATCTGGTAAGGATGCCTCCTGGACGCCTCCCTGGTGAGGTATTCCGGGCACGTCCCACCGGGAGGAGGCCCAGAGGAAGACCCAGGACACGCTGGAGGGACTATGTCTCTCGGCTGGCCTGGGAACGCCTTGGAGTTCCCCCGGAGGAGCTGGAAGAAGTGGCTGGGGAGAGGGAGGTCTGGGCCTCCCTTCTGAAGCTGCTGCCCCCGCGACCCGACCCCGGATAGGCGGAAGAAAATGTTTTAATGTAAACATGTCATATTTTAACAAGAGTATTTCATTATGCATCTACCAGACGCATTGTTTTTATTACAACAGTCACAAATCCAGCATCTTAGTCTAAACCTGGTGTGGAAAGATGGCAATGATTGCTTTTGCTTCGCCTGCATCCTTCTGTGGGATTTAGATGCTTCCTCTGCTCTGACTTTGTTATCTCCTTACCCGTATTCTGTTAACAGCCCGTGAAGATAAGACGGCTGCACGATAACTGAGCGCGGGGCAAATAAAGCAGGAGACAAAAAGGAACAAGTGCACCCAGAAGAACTTTAAATTTCAAAGAAAGATCAAGAGGATCCTCTGTGAATGGACTCAGATTTCACCGTAATACTTTTTTTTATCACATCATGCGAGTCATGAGCAATCGCACAAACAAAATCTGAAGCCTTGACAAAAGCCACTGAAATGGCCTGGCATGCAACATGCCCTTATCCGTGAGTGACACAATGTGCTTGTTATTACGAGTGTGCGGATTTTGAATACAAGAGAAAAATCACCTTATCTCACTGAGAGTGCGTTTGTGTGTGAGTCTGAGAGGTGGAGCGAAAGGGTCAAAAAAAATCCAGGAAATTATATTTTTTAAACAATTTTTTTAAAAATATTAACTAATTAAAGAAACAGCATTTGAACACTTCTTGTTCTTTTATTGAACAACTGAACTGTCTCATCATATACATACATAAAACAGCTGAAGGGTTTAAGATGATCCTTACATGGCACAGTTTGTACATTAATTATAAATTAAGAACACAGACGACAACTAAAAGCTCCTTTATGCCTCACTGATCAAATAATTAAGATGAAAATAATAAATGATGATGAAACGGGGGCTTTCTCTCCTCTGAATGGAGGGCTGATTTGTTCCCATTACTTATCTAATCATAACCGAGGCCTGCTGTAGCAGATTAACCCCAGAATAAACAGGATTACTGTTTACTTCACTGGAACAGGAGCATGAAACAACAGCTGATGTGATCAGAAGTCTCACTGAGGTGTAAAGACAAGACTGAAAACAGGAAATATCTCAGAAACCACCGGAGGGGAAACACTTCTTGTTGTGTTATTTCATGGTAGAGTTTAACTAAACTCACTTGATGGATTGCAGTAAAAAAAAAAAGGTTTGCTTGTCTCTTTGCTTTGCTTTGCAGATCAATGCTACTATTGCATGGATTTTTTTTATCTTATCTTTTTATGCGGTTAGGTTAGTCAAACTTTAAATTTAGGTCATTTTTATTGAATATATATATAATTTCAATATTTCGGCCACATTTTTTCATTGAAAATGAGTGGAGCAATTTTCAACATTTTTAAAGTCTTTCAAAATGTTTATAAATCTTTACAGCACTTCACACATTTTGTTCTGGTTCTGCTCATTTCTGATTATTTTTGCTAATTTTAGCCTTTTTTACTGTTTCAGCTAAAATTCTACTCGTTCTTCTATTCTTCTACTAATTTGTATGTTTTTGTGCTTCTTTCAGCTTCTTTTTGCGAATTTGAGCTTTTTGTGCTTCTTTCAGTTGCTTTCTGCTAATTTTAGCTCTTAATGAATAAAAATCTTTTGTCAAGGTAAGTTCACAATTTGGTGTCTGTTTTAGTTTCTTTTTGCAAACATGCTCTTTCTGCTTCTTTGTGACCTTTTTCAGCGCTTTGGTTAAATTTAGCTGTTTAAGTGCACATTTTGGCAGCAACTTGTTACTTTATTTTTATTCTTTATTTTTGCCTAATTTGACATTTTTTAAACCACTGTCACCACCTGTGTTCTACATTCAACTTGCTTCTGCTACCTTTAGCTTGTTCTTATGCCAGTTTTAGCTTTTTCTACTATTTTAGCTAAATTTTGGCTCCTTTCTACTTTTTTCCTTCTACTTTTTACTTTTTTTAACTTCTACTAATTTAAGCTGCTTTTAGCTTTTTGCAACTTTAGGCAGTGTTTAGCTGTTTGTTCTTAAATATGGCTTTTTCAAGCTAAATACACAATTTGGTGGCCCATTCTTCTCAAATTGAACTTGCATTAACTCTTTTGCGATTAGACATATTCAGCTACATTTCAGCAGCTTTCAGAAATAAGCATTCACGCCATCCTTTCTCTAAAGGTTTGCTTCTTTGAAAGAATGTGCATCATTCATCACTTTCTATATTAGAGTTTAAAGTAACATTTATCTGATGAGGAGGAGGGAGAGAGCTGTTAAATATGTTAGTGCTCAGAGTAACATGACAAACTTTAGCTCCATGACTGTAAAATGGACAGAGTTGTCGCCATTTTTTGTTTTTGTTTTTAAAGCTCAGCAGGCTGCGATGGCCATCTTGGCAACTTTTTTTTTTTTTCAATGAAGCAAATTCTTGTAATATTTGAACCGATCCACACTGTGATATGTGTGGTTTTGTGTCAYGGGGAGGCCTCGGGGCTCACACTACATCACTCATTCTGCCCTCGCCCGCCGAGCAGCACAAGCTGCGCTGCTCTGGAGCCGAGCCAAGAGGTTCTCTCGTCATTAGCTTGCCACTTGGTGGCCAATTGCTGGAGCAAAGGAGACAAAGGCTGCAGCCCACCCCTGCATGCTCTGATTGCTCTGAGGGAGCCAGCGAGAGAGGAAGGACAGGGGCCTCCTTTTTGGCACGTCAAATATTGCAGGGTAGCTTTTTGCACAGGGCGTCCAGGACAGACAGGGGTAAACGGGGTCTTTTTCTCATTTTCAGCTGATTTAGATTTGATGCCGTTTTCTGGGAGAGATAGTTTGGTCAACTTCCAAATAATGCTCTAATAATGCTCTTCTGAGCATGGAGCTAAAGTGTTTGCTTGGGCTAAGCTAAAGGCTAACCAACCATTTTGACCCAAGCTTTTATTTTAATATAATTTCTGTCAGTTTAGTCACTGACAGAAACATAAATCCTCTCATTCTTAACTTTACAGCTGCCTTTAGTGTCTACTCTGTCAGATCTAATAATTGTCTCAAATGAAAGCGAAAAAATGGGAGAAATACCTGTCAGATTATACAAAAAGGAGAATCAATTATCTGTGATTCCGACATAATGAGGCTTGAGTTTAGTCGTTCTTTACAGACACCTTCTCGCTCTCTGTGATCCTCCTGAGCCTTCGGGCTCTCTGGCTGTTTGGAGATTTCGTTGAGTCAAAGTTCTGTCAGTCAGGTAAGCAGTGACCTCATAAAGCCAGCAGATAAGATGTTACGTAGGAAGAGGAAGTGGAAGGGGCTCGGGGGGCTCGGGGGGAGAAGGCCTGACTGTGACGGCTCTGTGAAGCGAGGCGCATCGCAACAGTTCCTCGTGCTCTAAAAAGCTGCTTAGTAATCGAATATATCGCTTCTGCCTTCTCCGAGTTTCCGTTTGCAGTCTGAACTGGACCGTGTCGAGTCCCGTGTGCGAGTTGGTCCAAGTTTTCTCTGATAAAAAATAAATAACCAGAGAAATTGCATTTCCTGCAAAAATGCTCCTGTGAATGCTTCGTGCTAATATTTAGTAAAGGTGTTAATGTGAGCACACTTTGAAAAGCTGAAAGAAACAAAAAAGACCAACTTTGCAGAGAAAAGTAAATAGGAGCACATATATAGTTGAAAACAGAAAACAGCTAAAAGCTAAAATAGCTAAATATAGCTGAAAACATCTGCAAGAAGCATAAATAGCATTAGGTAGCAGAAAAAGGCATAAAAAGTAAAATATAGCAAAATAATAAGCAGAAAGAAGCAGATCTATAGCTAAAGTAGCATAAATAAGCTAAAATTAGCATAGAATAGGCTAAAGGTAGCAGCCACAAGTTGAAATTAGCACCCAGATAGAGAAAGTGTTGTAAAAATTGTAAAACTAGCAGAAGAATTGCATGCGAGTACAAAAAAGTGATAATTAGTAGTAAAATGGCTAAAACAGCTGAAATTTTCAGTAAAACAACTAAAAAGTAGCTGGAATTTAAATTAGCATAAGGAGCACAAGTTTGCTGAAGTTTTCAGAAAAAGTTTTAAATATAAACAATATGTATTTAGCTTAGAAAAGCTAACTTTAGCTAATAGCAGCTAAACATTAGCTAAAATTTCATCAAATAGCTCAATATAACAGAAAGCATCTGTAAGAAGCATAAACAGCAGAAGAAAAGCACCAAAAAGTAGAAAAAGGCAGAAGAATAGCAAAAAGAAGCAGAATTTGAGCTGAAATAGCAGCTAAAATTAGCACAAGGATGTGAAACAGAACATGTGTGAGGTTATGTAAAGATTTGGAAACATTTTTAAGGAGTTTAAGGATGTTGAAAACAGCTCTGTTCATTTTCAACGTCAAAAAAGTGGCTAAAAAAGGTGAAATCGCTGAAAAAAGCTGAAGTACCAAAAGTCATAGCACCCCTCACATGAATGAGCTGAAYGTTTTCAAATATGAATTGTTGAAATAGCACAAAAGTTCGATGCCAAAAATGTGCGGAAGAAAAAAATGATTGTGTGAAAGCTGTGAAGCGTTCACACAATAATAAAAATAAAGAATGGAAAATGGACATTTGTCCAGAAGCTTCACAGGATTTCATCTTGAGCAAATCGATGACGCTGTCCCACGGACGTCATCACCGCTGAGCTGCTTTCCGTCACTTTGGCCGCCTCTCAAGTCACTGACAATGTCTTTAATTAACCATCAATTTTTATACGAGAGGAGGAAAAAAAAGTCTGTCTTTAGCTGCTTCTCTGATAATTTTCTTTTTTTTTTTTCAACAGGCCTTAATGAAATTGTAACGAGTATCTAGAGAGTCCTCAGTGCACCGACAGAGTCTCAGTTATCACTGGTAAACACCCCGGCACAAARCGTTTCTGCCAGATTGAACAGACTCAATAAATGGCTTACGCAACCACGTCGACTGCCGCAGAGYAGCCGGGATGGCAGGAGTAAGACAAACCTGCCAGTCATTCCATTACGCTGGGAAATTACAAAAGGATGAATGAGGGGCAAGTCCTTGTTGAGGACTGAAGCTTTTGGGTGGTCCGCAGGTTGGAAGCCCTCTGGGAGGGATCAAGGGGACCTCAGCGTATAATAGCAATAAGAAAACCTGTTGAAACAAGGCAGACACTATAATTCACCATTTTAAAATATCTATATTCCACACAGCTATTACCGTTCATGCTCCCATAACTGATTGTTGGAAAATGTCTTTTTTTATGTCTCACTGCTGTTTAAGCCCATAAATACCACATAATAGCTCAACACATTTATTTTAATAATTATGTCGCTAAATGATTGAGTAGAAACATGTTTGTTTTCATAATTCTCTGCTCTGCTTCAACACATATTCGAACATTGTTAGGTTTGGAAGCTGCCAGAAGAACCTGCTGCTGAGCTGATGGCTCAGTTCTTTCCTCAGGAGACACTTGGTGGTCATTGTTCAACCAGGGCAGAGAAATACACGTGTAACCCCCTGCCCAAAAGGGTTCTGGGGGTTSAAACGCTTCAGTCCAAAGTGTTGAGTTTTCCGGTGCAATTCAGGTGCAACTTATCACCACGTAACACAGAACCGTTTCATGACAAACAACCACAATCATTCAATCACAGCATAAACCCACTGTTTGTGCAAATCACTGACGCTTGCAGAATTTAAAAGTCATGCTAAAGTGTTGAGGAAAATCAAGAAAATCGAGAAAATTAGTTTTCAGTCACAAAACTGTGAAAACAACTTGAAATTTGAACCAATGAAAACACCAACACCTTAATTTACAGCGATCAAATGCATAAATTGCGTTTAACTGAGTAATTTTCAAATAGAAAAAAAAAAAGAGTGCTGATTAAAAACCAAGTTCACAGTGCTCCTTTGGCGCCCTCTGGTGCCCAAAATACAGATAGCAGACAAGCTGTGCTAAAAAATAAAAAATAAAATTTTTGAGTTTTGTAGAAAATAAACTAACAATGAATTACTTTAAAGAAGCATAACTTTATTTTAATCCATTAAGCTGTGTTTTAAAGTTTTTGATTACCACTGTGCTTTTTTTTATGCACATTTGTATTAATTTTTTCACCAGCGTTTGTAGCCTACAGCTATTCTATATTTGAGTATCGAGATGTTGTTTTTGAGTAAGAGAATAACATTTACATATTATTATTGTTGTTGTTGTTGTTGTTGTTGTTGTTGTTGTTGTTGTTGTTGTTGTTGTTG